GGTGCATTTTCCCGTCCTTCCTGTTGCATCAGGTAACAGCAGGTTGATAACAAAAGCATCTGATGGACAAAAAATAACAACAGCAAAAAAACAAAAAATAAATCACTAGCAACTATGTTCCAGGCAAGCTTTTATAATGAGAAAAACTGTTATCAATCTTGAAGAAAATAACGGTCATAAAAATTTTTTTGTAAAAATAAATTCTCGCCATGCACAGATTTCCTGTACTACGTCTGTGACAGACACGATTATTTTCGTATTAATATTATCAATTATACTTTATTGGTCTCAAATGTAAAACCAGCAAGAAGTAAAAAAAAAAATGAAATGAAATTAAAATAATGTAAAAATGTGTTTGAAAAAAGATCGTCGTTGGTGGAACTCGTTGCCGCGTTTCGACATTTGCTTCTATGTGAAATGAATTCTATCTTGAATCTGAAGAGATGTTCACATCCAGCGCATCGTATAATAGAATGATTCTAGACTCCCTTCGTCCCTTCTATTTGTGCTCTGGTGTTTTCGGAAGGTGCTGTTTTTCTAAGGAATCCTCTTCTCCAACTGGTTGTTCCTGCAGCTTCCGTCTCCCAACTGACCGGATCAATTTCTGTATTCGGCACGATTCAACATCAATGTAGCAGAATATTAGACGAAGGAAGAATTGACGGAGCAGGATCTGGATATTCTGGAAAGGGAAACCAGTTCCATAAAGCGTAATATATGGTGTGTGTTTTGCAGTCAGAACATCCCTGGTGACAAAAGTAAAACAATAAAAAAAACAAGCCAGAAATTTGAGAATTCTTCTAGAATTATTAGTTATAAAATGTAAGTTTTGAAAATTTATGCTTCTTTATTAAGTTTTGGAGCACATGGCCGAAAGTATGGAACGCAAGTCAGGATCAAACTCACTACTCAGTTGTAATTGATCTAACGAGACAAGATTGCTAACAACTCCAACACGCCTAAATCTTCCTATAAGTATTTAACATTCTCAGGTTGTGTGCAACTAAAATAAGAGAGATATGACAATTTCGGATGCAGGTCAACTATCTTACATGCATATAAATAAATCTGTTGTTTTGCCAAAAACAGTCGACCAGTGTGTATCTGGAATATAAAGACGTTAAAGAAAATTTAAAATAACTTGTCTATCTAACCGATCGCCTGATGATTAGATATAATAGGCAAAACTTGTAACTAGGAAGATAGATTTTGACCCTATATATATATAGTCTGGACCATTTTCTCTTAAACACTTTCAAAGATTCTACATTTTGGACCATTTTCCTTGTTTCTGTGAGAATTCAATCCTACATTTTCTAATGTCCGAGTACTTTCAATTTTTGCATGTCATTTATGAAAGTTTTCATTTGTGCTGTCACGTCTCTTTTTTGTTAATATTCACATCTTCATAAGCCGATATTTAAGTGTCAAGTTGGAAAAAACACAACAAGTTAAAAGTAAGAAAAAATTGGACTCTTCAAATACTATCGTTGAAATCAGAAATATATACCGAGGAAGGTTCTGGAGAAATGACTATATTTTCTATTACTTTACTTCCTGCAAGAGACATCAAATTATAGTTGTTTGACAAAATACACATAGAGAGCCATCAGGTATTCTTTGAAAATTTAAGAAATAATAATTCTCATTTTTTTAGGCCTTTTTATCTCGATTTTAGCATGAAGTGAATTATTTTCTAAACACTTCATACTTTTTATATTTGCCGGCGGTTAGAGATGTCTGCTAAAAAAAAGTAAAGTCGGAAACCTTTGAAATATTTAGAAATTTCTGGGAAGTTGTAAAAGTTTTTCAATTTAGTTGAGACAAAAGAAGCAAGAATGTATTCCTATGTACGCCAACTCTTGATTTAAGCAGAATAGTGAGCAAGCGAAAGAATGAGAGTGATAGTTAGAAAAAGAGAGAAAAAAAAGGAGATGAATATATAGAAATAAAAAAGAGGCGACTGAAATAAATATAGTAAAATATAAAAAGCAAGGCATACAAATAAAGACTGATAGAGGAAGACGAAGTGAGAGTGAGCAAAAGAGTAAAGAGATAGAGAATACAATCGAGCAGGAGATATAGATGCAGTAATTGAGACAAAAAATAGAAAGAAGTAAAAGGAATGAGAATAGAACATAGGAATCGTGACAGAGATCGATATATATATATATATATATATGTGTGTGTGTGCGCGTGTATGTGTATGAGTGAGATAGAGAGATAGAGTGTGTGTGTGTGTGTGTGTGTGTGTGTGTGTGTGTGTGATAGATATATTTGTCAGAAAATTTTATACCTGAAATTTTTCAGACAGTATAATTAGAATTTATTTTTTTAAGAAATCAAATATCGCCATTGATGTTAATAATTCCATTGCACATAAAAAATCGAGCGTTTGAAATTTGTTTGGAAAAATTAGAGAAGAAAGAATTGTTTTGTATCTTTAGTCAAACGGAAATCATAGTTATTCCAACTATTTACTCGACTTTAATTGAATTAAAATTAGTTTCATTAATACCAGTTATTTCTTTTTTAATTTTTATGTTTTATGCTGAGATAAGATACATTATGTCGTCATAAATACATTTATATACATGGGAAAATCACGCTGAAACCACCAATTCACGATTAAACATTAAAACAACACAGCATCAACCTTATTCGTACTATGGGATTCCGCTTGGAAAAAAGGGTATTCTAATCTCCCTGATATAATTCGGGAATTACCGACATAACATGTCTTACGATCAGTATACTTGAAGTACTTGAGTTACAAGTAGTCTTCGGATACCTTGACTGGTTCTTGTCAATTAGGATGGTCTTAATGCTGAGAGTCCATATAATGCTACTTAAAACTATGAGTGACTATAAACAATGGCGGAAGTTTACAAAAAATGGAAGAAGAAACAGCAGAAACACATACTGGAGGTATGAATAACGAGCAGGCGTAAAGTGTCGACCAGTATTATTGATGTAGGCTCAAAAAGAAAAAAAGCTTATTGAATGAAAGCTTAAAGATAATACTTTTGAATTCTACAGATCCGAATGGATTAAAACAATAGAATAATAAAGAAAAAAAGAAAAGAAAGATAAAGTAAACTTGAGAAAAACTGTTAATTATAAAAAAGGTATTTTCAGAACTTTCAATATACATGTAAATTAAACTAACAATATTTAATATTAGCTGCCATATGTAATCCGCATTTGGCACTTTCGATTCAAGATTGATTAAGTAGAGGATATCCAAAGTTTCTTTCTGCGTTAGAGTGGTTGCCAATCAAGACTAAAGGACATAGTCTCTCCAACTATTCAGGCCATAGATGAGTAGAGGAGTTATATATTCATATCTTTGCAAAGGGTATTTGCGGGTAAGTGAATGCAATGACTGCAATTCGAAATTGTTTCTCTGATTTCTCATATGCAATACTTTATGCATTACATGACACCGAATACCCGATTTATTTGTCCTTTATTTCAAGTGATTATTTTGTCCCATTCTATCAGCAGTATTTGAAAATAAGCAGTTATTGTCATCAGTTTGTTGCCTACGATAATGGCCTTCCAAATTGGATTGTTGCATTCGACGTTTAGTGTTCCGAATATTTGTTTTACAGTTTTTTACAAAATGATTACAAGTGCTCATCTTATAAAATGTGGTTCCCGGAACACCGAATACTTTCAAAGAAGGATCTTTCTTTTGCTCTCTCCCCTCCTCTTACATATATATATATATATATATATATATATATATATATATATATATATATATATATATATATATATATATATATATATATATATACTAACACATGTCACGCTGTTGCCCGTGCTTGATTCAAATACAAATGCATCCTTGGGATAAGCACTTGCTCCCCTTTACCGCAGCCAGTTATAATTTTGGTCTCAATAATGTTTGGTTTTAGGGGCCGAATAACCATCCTTGTCCCATTAGAGATTCGATGGAAGCAGGAGTCTAAGCAACATAACCGGGATCACCACTTTAAGTTCCAGAATTTGAGGAGGGAGACCAGCGGTGGAGGGGGGGGCTGTTTAAGAACTCTACTGGAATGTTCGACATTTCAGTGGGGTCTGGAGTTCTGTCAATGGATTTGTAAACGGGCAACACCCATGACACAGTTTGCAGAAGCTGTCTATTAAGGGTTGTCACAGTGGTGTTTTTTGATGCAAGAATTGCCCGCCCAGCAAGCCACTCAATATTGCTGTAGTTGGTTTGAAAATCAGGAAAAATTGATTCCCTGAATGTTGCTGGCGTTGAGACCACTGTAGATAACCCTTGGACGTTTACAAATCCATTAGTGTCCGCTGGAATAATACATTCGCTAAGGGCTAATAATGAATTCGAAAATTCGGCGGACACAACATCGTCAGTTAGGTGTGCACGCATGTTGGTGGTAAGGTGCAATGGTCTAAAAGTGGGCCAAAGTTGTGACGATTTCAAGCACGCTCGAATAGCGTCGGCCCTTGTCCGCTTGGATTCAACGGGAAGGATCTGGTGAAAGTCACCGGATAGAAGGCCAGTTATACCTCCCAAAAGTTCATCTGAGTTTCTGATATCCTTCAGAGAGCGGTTTACAGCCTCGAGTGCAGTTTTGGGACTGACAATGCACTCATCCCAAGCGATGAGCTTACATCGCCTGAGTACCTGCGCTAGACCTGATTGTTTGACTATACTGCATACAGCTGTTTCCGCCTTAATCAAGTCAAGCGGAAGTTTAAATTTGGAGTGCACTGTTCGGCCACCCGGTAGTAATGTGGCAGCAATGCCTGAAGACGCTACTGCTAGCGCCACTTCGCCATGGCGCCGAATTTCTCCAAGAAGCAGATTTTCCCGTTTCCCCAGGCGAGTCCAGGAAGAAAATTGATCCTGTATCCTGCCTGGTGGATGCAAGAATTGCACCGTAATCGGCCCTTTGACCTATGAGAAGTTTTGGCTCATTTGTTGCGACATAGGCGTTGAGTAGGATGTCTCCCGCACAATCTCAGGTGAGGGACTGGAGGAAGCCACACAATCTGGCACAATAGCGGCGAGAGATTTCCCCCACCATTTCAGCAAACAGGTTCACAATGATTATAAGCGCCCTATTGTAAATTTCATCGTTGAATGTAAGAGTCATTGTTGGGCACAGCAGTTGCGCTTCTCTGAGTATGTCTTCGGACAAAAAGTCCTTGTATTTGTCCCAAAGTGATTTGGGACCAGTGGGTTGGCACATTTGTAAGACTGTGGTGTAGAGGTGGCGCAAAGCAGAAGGCATTTTTAAAAGAGCTCCCTCGGCCATTGTGGCATCCCAGTGGCTGTCGTCTTCAAAAAGGCCGAGACGGAGGCAGGCCTCACTAAAAGTGTCACATAAAACTCCATTAACCGTCCGTAAGTTATTGTAGCTCGTGGGACCACTAATATCGTGCAAAAGGAGTCGCAAGTAAAAACATTCCTGTCGTGATTGGCGAACCATGAATACCCTTCCGAGTGTGGCGTCTTTTTTGACGCCTGGATAGACCTCGACGTTGGCCCCGCACTTCCGCCGAGCCCAGGTGTTCTTTTTTTTCCACACGTAGTATGAAGGCACGTCTGGGTACATTAGAGTCCTAGTAAACTCGTTCTGTCGACAAAGTTTGAAGAACGCTGTAAACGTTGTGTCTTTGGTACGCGCAGCCACATTCATTGCTCTATCCACAGAAAAGTAAGGAATTTCGTCTTTTTCTAGGTGCACAGCAACCTGGACGATTGCTGGGAAGCGTTCGTGGATGGGGAAGCTGAATATGTGCCAAGGGCCCTCTGGGCTGCGAATGACGTGCCCTGCAAGGAAGTCCAGGATTTCGTCTACGGAACCTTCCTGCCTAAAACCAAATATTGCAGCATCAGTCCCCTTGTTGATTTACTTGCATACATTCTTGATGGAGCGAACTGAATGGCAATATTCGACATTGATGTGCGCATTGAACGCTTTTGTTACCACGGCTGTAAATCCTCCCTCAGCGGGACTCCTTCGTCGGTACCGTGGATAACCATCGCTCCCTGTAATGGTTTCGCTCACGAAATCTCGGCGGTACTGCCGGGTGCATTTGCCGTCGCTGTTGTGACAGCTAGTGTAATTTGTAATGCGACCCGCGGGGAAGAGTAATCATGTTTGCTGTAAAAATTTCGTAAAATTCAAGGTCAGCCGACGGATCCGGAATTTCAGCAGAAATAATATGATCGATTTCCTTGACCTCAGTCTTATCGCACAGCCAAATTAATATATGTGCTAGAGTCAGGCCGTGTTTCTGCTACTCAATAGTGTGCATGCGACAGCAAACAGCCCCCAAAACCTGGCCCTTTGTAATCACATCCATTAGCTTTGCCAACTTCAGATGGTAAACGCATGCAATGAGGTCTGGACGGTCGTAGGCCGATTGCCCTGGTATAAGTTCTTTAGCAATTGCGTACCATTTTGGGTTACACGTGAAAGTTACAAATAGGTCTGGTCGGCCGTACTTACGAACGTATATCATCGCGTCTTGAGTCCTCGCGTGCATGTATCGTGGACTGCCTGTGAACGTTGCAGGTAGTATGCACATCTTGCCTATATTGCGTGGATCAGCGTCATTACGTAAAGCATCACGGAGGTGAATGCAAGAGTCGCAGCGCAACTTCGTCTGATTCACTCTGATGTAACAGATTCTTTCGGATTCCATTGAGCAGCCATGTATATCATGAATTGATGGAAAAGTTGCCGGCTTCGGTGAAGATGATTGAAGGCACCCTCATATACCATCAATAGGTAGACATAGAAAGCTCTGCAAGACACTATTTTTAAGGCGAATCCATTTTGCAGAATGCCAAAGTGGTAACCATCTTTTCCGTAAGGGAAGAGAAGTGGGTATTGCAGTGCATCGTAGGACCGGTACGTTTCACTGATTCTTCGGAGCCCACTGCCAAGCGATTCGATAACAATATCACATCTGTTGTGCTGATCACCGCTGACAATGATGGAAACTTCGTTACTTGCAGGAGCATTGTAACGACGTTCGTGCTCTCCCTGAGGCCGTTTGTCAGCATCAATTACAATAATAATGTTGCCTCGTCTGGGTGTTTTGCAGCCTTAGAAGAGTGCAAAGCAGAGGTTGAATTAGACGCTATATGATCATCTGTAACCGGAGTTATTATGTGTTCTTACACAGTCGCCTGTTCTACATGTGTAACGTTAACAGTATTAGGGGTCTTCAGTTGGTGACGTGCGGATGTTGGTCGTGCAGAAGCCATTTGAAGGGTTGTAGAAATGCTATGTAAGAATGCGAATAGAAGTTGCTGCTGAAGCTGAAGCGGTGCAACCTCGTTGTATACGAAAACTAAAAATGCAGTGGAGCCGTATGGAAAAGGCTTCTCCTAGCTATGGGCCGTGCTTTCTGGCAGCTCGAAAATGTCGTTGTAGGAAGAGGTTACGCAACCAAAACGTTGAAACGTTGAAGGCTAAAAAGTAGTTTAACTGTCTAATCGCAAAACTGAACTACGAAAATGAAGAAATAGGTATGGAACGTTAAAGGCAGCACGCGGAAATAAAATGGGTAATGCAAACATTTAAGCAAATAGGTAACTTGCGGTAGCAGGAAGCTGTCAATTACTCCAAAGACTGATACGTTCATGGCGATCAAATCAAGACCTGAGTGCGGATGCAGCCGCGTTGAAGGTATTTAAAGGGAGCGTGACTTGTCATTGATTGGTGTAGCCTGGACAATGGCCATGAATTAGACCAAAGAATGAGCTCACGCAAAATAGAAGATGCTAGCGCGCATTCACGCACACGCGCATGATTTGGCAAGCGCAAGGCTTGGCCGTAAACGATGTCAAGCTGCCTGCTGCATATGCAGCTTGGCTTTAACGCACGTGATGCTGGCGATGAGAATGCAAGGAGCTGCAATGAAGCGTTTGCTCGTTTGGTTTGTGCGACAACGAAAAGCCACTAACCGTTTGCCGGCATTAGCCTTGAAATGGATTGGGAGGAAGCCCTGATGTTTTAGCGCAAAAACTCCTTCTCAGGTCTGGGATGAGGCCTGGGCTAAGGGAAAAAGTTTAAAGAATTGGAAAATGGACTGATGAGGGAGGAAACATTTTCACTCAACACGTATGCGTTTTTTTTTCAGTAACGACGCGAATAAAGGAAGTGCTTATTATGGTAAGATGCAATGATTAAAGCAAAAGTGTTGACAAAGTCGAATATGTCATTTGTGGCTCAAAGTCAGTAGTAGGGATAAAAAAGCCGAATTTCAATGGCCCTGCAACCATTCCAGAATTTGAGGTCAAATGTTTTTTCCACTCCACTGCACGTACTGACCGGTTTCTTCCTGCGCATAGCGTGACCTTAAATCAATCTGCATTTAGGAAATACCCAACCGGAAAAAACATTTTCAAGGGTTGACCGATTGTCGATTTGCAATAGCCTCCTCATAAATCAGGTCGGTCTTCGCTAAAAACCGACATGCGGTTTAGGCAAAATCTGGGCGTATCGGTTTTTGGGTTTTATCAATTTTCCGCGCTGTTTAGGGGTCCGTGGTCATGAAAATTCTGGACAACACTTCTAATCGTAGACTCTAAAAGTGTGTTAAATTTGGTTTAAATGCGATCATTCCTTCTGCAAGCAGATTTTTTCGATTATCGATTTTTTCGTTAATCGATTTTTTCGGAACCTGAGTCCGAACACAAACATCGGGCTCCGTCATGTCCTTACGGCAGCCATTTGTAAACTTGTGGTGAAAACCGCATCGAAATCGGGTGAGAAATGCGGCCTGGGCGAGGTAACAACACCCACGACAGACACACAGACAGACAACAATATATATATATATATATATATATATATATATATATATATATATATTGTTGTCTGTCTGTATATTCCTAACTGTTTGTTTAGAAACCTGGTATTTTATAAAAAGATAGTGTAATTACTGTAGTATCTGTCACGATAAAATACGATAAAGAGTGAAACCAATTTTCTGGTTCTTTGAATTGCAGAGTTAAAAATAAATATTACTAATAAGGATATCTGTATGCATGGGGTAAATCTTTATAAACAAGACAATTACAAATTTTGTGATGTAGATTTTCTTGTTTTATATTTATTTTGACGCCTACATTTCTTTTTTTTCTAATATTTTGCAACTCACCAGCTTAATTTTTTCAAGGTATTCGATTATTTCATTTATTCTCGAAGATGAACTAATCGAGGAAATGTTCAAATGGAAACTAAATTCTATAGACCTTTGAACAAACTGTTTTTGATATACAAGAAACAGTTCGGTCTTCTTTCAATAAAAAATCGTTTTGATAAAAACATTATATCTCAGGAGGAAATGAAATTGAAAATTCATCCTGCTCATGAAAATAAAAAACAAAAAAAAAACGTAATGACTGAAGTTTGTTAAATCTTCATTTCCAAATATATACTTGTGAGAAAGACTCGATTATTATAAAGAAATATAATATTTCCCTTATTACGACATAGTTGATATTTCTAAGTTGCTAAAACAGGCATTATACCTTTAAATCCAGTTTAATTCGAATTAGTTGTTAATGTATATATATATATATATATATATATATATATATATATATATATATATACATTCAAGAGAGTACAAGCATTTCTATACGGCTTTTGAAAATATGATGTGCATGGTTTAATTTTACATGCATTTTTAAATCACAAGTACATATAATCATTAAACAAACACACACACATATATATATTAACAAAAATGTAAGCCAGCTATTGGGGCATCAAAATCAAGCAGGTAAAAAAATAGCTATGTGGGTAGTGCAGTAAGATACAACGTGGAAATATGGCAAAGGTAAATAACCGAAGGTAAATATAAATAGTGAAATATGACTTACATAAACTAATGGCCTAAATTAGTACTGACTAATTGGTTAAATGGGGGTGAGTACCAAATTACCTTACGATTTCTATTTCTTTTCTTTGGACCATTATCATCCTAAATTTCATTTCAGCGTACTTATCAACACAATTCTTTAAACTTTATTATGCACACCGCTATATTTATTTGTCTGATGAGTGGTTGCAAATCATACGTTCTACAGACGAAGGTTTTTGTAAATTAACAGGATTGTTAGAATTTGGGTGATTATAAGTTGCGTTGGCATTATTTTTCATATAAGGTTGAAATATATTGTTAATAAGATCTAACCTAGCACCAGGAAAATCTACTTTTTTAACATTTGTACTTATCTTAAGCTTAAGATTTAATCTTTTTACTTTTCTATGAATCATTTTTCGTAATTTATCTACCTCAATCTTAGTGGAACTTTTACTACCATAAGACCATCATCTCTATAAAACATTATACTATCATCAATGACATCTTCTTAGGCAATAAGGTTATATAAAATCAATAAACCCGCCAGATCAGAATACTCTGCCGAATCTCATGATCGCATTTAAATATCAAAGTAATCATCAAAGTTCTTAACCTCCCGTTCTTTATTGTAGATGAGAACTGATCTTCTACACTTAATTATTCTATTCATATCTTCACTGGAGATGTTTGAATATTATTTGACAAATTCCAAAACCAAGGTAAAGAGATCCTTGGAGATGGAAGGGAAAAAATTCACAATATCGAACCGAATAAAAGAGCAGCTGCTTTTGTTATTAATACCTCTAAAATAATTAATGACTTCTGTGTTAACAATCCATTTGTAAGTCGAAGGCGTCATTTGATTAATTGGTTGAGCCGATCCAGGATAGCTTTGCTTATCCTTCAGATTTCCGCTCTAGTAGGGTTTATGTTACTCTTAGAAAGGTTGGTCTGAAAGTCTGGCTTATGATCATTAAGTAAGACATAAAATTTTTTAGTACAGATTTTCATGACCCTGTTAATTTTATCAACACAATATTGTTGACATCTATCTTCTTACAATTTTTAGTCAAATAGTTTTTGATTAATTCGTTGTAATCCTTGGGATTATATTTGTAAAAAAAATAGTAGTTTTATCAGATTTAACAAATCATTGGTTGGATTTGATTTATTAATATCCTTAACTATACAATCTAAATGCCCCTGAAACTGATTCCTAATTTTATGAAATGTGATGTCATTTATGATGATTAGAATATCAGTTTCAAATCCGTGTAAGTGTTCAATGGGAGCTGCAGTTTTTAAACTCCTAAACCCATAAAGAAAGAAGTAGTAGGGGTTTCATTTCATTTTTCTAATCAGATCCTCAGTCTTTAAAACCAGTTTTTCGAAATATTCCCGTTTGTTTGTGATGGGAATGTTTTTTAACGAAATTCCAAAATCGATCTTTCCATGTTAGAGTACTAATTAAATGTAAACAGTACTCAGCCCTAGGGGAGAAGAATATATATAACTGCTTTTTAAGTGAATTATGTTGGCTTAAGCAAAGCCCATCCTTCATTGAATATTGTCCATTGACTTTAATGTTGTACAAATTTCTTTAGCAAATAACAGCCACCTGAGGACTACAAACAACAGCAACAACTAACACGTATAGCACATGCAATATGAAGAGGAAATAATGATATAATGAAGATTTTGTC